TGAATTGAATTGAATAGAACAGTGACAGTATTGCTGCAAACACTCGCTTCATCCTGAAACCTGGATGAGCTGGACTGACAGGCTGGTTTCACTCGTCCAGCCTGATACAGCCTAACAGCCCCAGTCTTAGCTCATATCATTAAAATGATCTCATTATCACCGGTCTAAAGCTCGACTTCAGCAATAGCCATCAAGAATCAAAAGTGAAGGACAAACAGGTGCCGAGAGGATTCCTGCCCCTTTTTGCTGGGTAACATGTAACCTAAGTGTACTCTAAAACATTCATTGTTCGCCTAATCCATCAACTGATTCAGAAGCTCTTTGGAGCTGCTGGCAGCGTGATACGTGAGCCTGTCAGTGCGAGTGTGCACTTCCTTAACTTAAACACACTAAAGCTAAAACACACAGTGAAAATATACAAAGGAGTAGTTGCGCAAGATCAAGAAATTCAGGCTCGGCTGGAATATTCTCGGCCAGGACGTCATCATTACCGAGTTAAACGAGGCAACGAGGAAAAAATCCTGCAAGTCATTCGTGTTTCTTTAGTGTGTGCTGAGATCAGCTGACTCTGATTGGCAGGATAACATGTCGTATAAGCACATCGCTCCAGCATTCAACAATAAACTGTTATTTCATGAATAAGAGACGTGAAAGGAAGCCTGCTTATGTCACAGTGACCTCAGTGATCTTTCTGTTAGTTTCTTCATACCAGGCAGAAACGTGCTGTCGTGTTAAATTAGCAGAATGGAAGCTTCACAAATCCAAAGATGCTTTTTGTACAGCACTGGAGAAAATGATGGAACACGACATATGAGTGCTTTAGGAAGGTAAATAAATAACAGATTTACTGGCTCATGAAAACGTGCAGCCGCCGTACAGGAAGCAGCACCAGCATTGTTGAGCCATTGCTCAGTCATGTGGTAACAATCTGAAGACAGTGATCATTACTGAGATATGCACGACATCACAGAGCTGTGTGTGTCCTGAAGCTTCCTCAGAGAGAAGAGGACAACATTTAATGAAAAGTAATGTGTAAAATCATAACTGTGTGCAACACAGTGCTTTATATTAACACTGTTGAACCTATGATGGAGGTTTGTGTTGGTCTTTCAACCTCAGTAAGAAAAAGTTTAGGTCACAATTAAATGTGTGACATTAATAATCACTTTTTTATTAGACAAAGATGAACTTAACCGAATACAAAACGTGGTTTTTAAATAGTGATTTAGCCCCGCCTACCCATCATGACAGAAAATCACTGTTGACCAATAAGAACACAAAGACCATGTGAAGTTTGACCATTTTGGCGAGACTTTGGGGGAAACTCTGATCAACAGTCAGTGTGACGACAATGACGCATCATCACTGTCGTTGTGATTCTGTTAGTGTGTTTGGTTTATAAATCCAGCTTTGGTAAAAGCATCGTGACGGCGCACACATGTCGACAACAGACTGTATGATTGTTGCACACGCTGGTGTCAAAGGCTTA